TAAGAAAAATAGCATCATGCCAAGTCCATGTTGCTTCTTGTCAGACCTCGGGAACCTCGGTTGTCTGATGTGTCTGAGTTCCGAAGACGATGGGATGATTCAGATCTTGTTTGATCGACGACGACTTCATGGGACGACAACACCACGCAGACTCGCGGCGGCTCTGCCAGCAGCATCGACCAGGACAACAACAACTAAAAAATGCGGGGTTTGTGGAACTGTCCGGCAGCTTTGGACGGTCGTATCTTAGCGCTATCATCGGCTACAGAGGGCATCCCCGTTGCACATCATGCCAGATCGACTCCTGCAAGCCGAGGAGGACACGACACGGCGCAGGCAGGTAGGTGGTGGCGCACCATGGTCGACAATTCTCTCGTCGTCAGATCCAGTTCGTCCCAACTCTCAGATGATGCCACGGCGTCCAGAGCGCTGCGTTCTTTGGACGACTTTCAGGTCGCTGCTGGGGTCGCATGACTTGGCCCTGTTCCTGTAGACGAGCAGCCCGGACCAGGCTGTATCTCACCGCTGTGGATGTGGATAGAGCAAGCATCAACTCTGTATCAAAAAGGCCCAAGCGGTATCGCGGGGCTGATTGAAGGTGCGAGCCGATAGTGCAATCAACACTTTGTTGCTCCTCTTCAGATGCGCTCCTCCAAACGGCTCTTTACGAAAAGTGCAGATACTCTTAATCGGGATGCTCCAACAATAAAGATAGAGTTGTGTTGGCAGACGCCGGCAGCGTTGGCTCCATCCCACCATCTGCGCATCCCGCAAGGCACGGCACTTTTTGCAGCGTTGCATGATCGGATGATCTTGCCAACGCTTCGAGTCGAAGCAAGGACCAGGCAGTTCAAGCAGTTACCATGTAGCTGGAAACTGCTCGGCATCCGTGTCGCGGCCCGCTAGGCCTGCAACCGTTGACTGCAACGAGGACGACGAAGTTGATGCATGCATGACAGAAAGCGAGATGAAAGGGTCACTCAAAGCACCAGTCACGAGGCCAAAGCAAAAGGGCAACCGACAGGCGCCCGTCGACCCCAAAGTCCAGGCCTTCAACTCTGCCAACGCTCTTGGTGCTCTTACCCCTGGACCAGCGTCTAGACACTTTTTTTTTTTTTTTTTTTTTTCGGGCGGTTCAGAGGGCGGGGGGTCCACGGACTTCCATGCCTTCGACTTCTTGGGGCCACGAACGTGGTGAGGTTGCAACCCGCCGTCGGTAGCCCATCTTTGCTGGACTGGGCATGGGCTAGACGGGTTCCTAGGAATAAGAGACGATACTGAGGGCACATATAGGCCCAAGACAAGGCGAATGTGCCATCAGACTTTCCAGAAAGAATCATACGCATCGGGCAACACTGGCACTGGCGTAGAGTTCGTCGTCGAAGTTTATTTTGCAGACTTCTCATTCAACAGATCCACAGCAGTCAGAAGAGACTTCTTTTCGAAACCAACATCTCCTATCAGGCCCACCTCACCAAAGTACACCTCGGAAGCAAGCCGACGGTCAAGACAGCTTCTTCTTTGCGAAGGTCTCTGCAAAAAATAGACCCTGTGGCAACAATTAACGTCTGCTCTGCGCAATGACAGTCTCAGGGCCGTTGCTTTTCGTCCCATGTCAGTGCTTGGACATGCAAGCCAGGGTCCGCAAGACTGACAGGTTACAGCAGGGATGGATGCAAAGGTGGTGCGGCGCGACCCTCAACGGCCGCCCATCATTGACCCGACTCGGGAGTCGAGAGAAGACATCACGAGTTGAGACTGCGAGAGCCGCCCAGCAGAAAAGATGCCAACGGCTGCAGCGCCAGTGAGATGAAGAGAGACGGCCACATCCCCGCCCTGTCGCCTGGTGGTTGCATACGTCTCATTCAAAACGGGTATCCACCAATATCGACCTTGCTGAGGTGAATGAGCGGGTGCTCTCTGTGCCTGGATTATCTGCAGCGCAGCGTGCAGTGTCATTTCGCCCTCCGCTCTGTTGTCTGGAGTTGGCCACCCCTCAACGCAACCCTGTCTGCCCAGACCTACCACACCCACCCTTCCACACTTCCTGGCCCCCCGTCGTGATGGGACAGGGGTTTGAGGAAAGGGCCGCTCTCAGGCAAGTTGACGGCGTGTAGCCCCGTGCTTTCCTAGCACACTCCAAGAGCTCGCAAGATGAGCATGGGGTGTAAGATGGGGTGAGATGGAAATGTGACAACGACGAGCCAATCGTCACGCCGGCCGCCTTAGATGAGACGATGGATACCCAGCGCCTGTTATTCGACACTCGTGGTGCCTACCTACGAATGCCTACCTTGCCTAGGGTTGGGTTCACCGGCTGGCTCGCCTTGGGAGGCGTGCGTGCTTCCTGATGTGCAACACAGACGACGGATCGTGCAAGGGGCTCAAGAACGATCGAAGAATGGGTTCTGGTCCCAACCCTTCCGTCATACCTGGCGCTTATCAGGTCGACGTATTGCCCAGACAGAAAATCCGGAGCGGAAGGGGTCGCCAGAGAAGGCCTGGGAGAGAAGACCGCACGCTGTTCCGAGCGAGCGCTTCTCAGCATGCGGTTTCAGGCTCTTTGCGGGGGACCGAGAAAGTCGTCTATCCGGATTTGCCTTTCCTCTTTTACCTCATTTCCAGGATCACCACAACAAGATCTGGTACCTGCAGTAGCAGCAGTCTCTTTCACTTTCGTCTGATTGCTTCTCTCTCCCCTCCTCTCCCCACCTCCCTCCTCTTCTTCCCCTTGTCACTCGTTGCCGTGCTGTCTTTTGGGTCGACTACTCTGGCTGAGACCTCACTTCTCTGCTCTCTTCGTCTCTCTCACATTTCGGGGCGCAAGACCAAGCCGGGCAACATTCGATTCCTACGTGGACTGTAGCAGCAGCAGCAGGTTAGTCTGGTACTGGTTCTCAGGAATCATATCCGGTCGCCTTCGACGAGCCTTGCAACCTTTACCAACCCTTTGAAAATCTCACTTCGGCATCCTCCAATGACCGACGGACTGCTACGAGCCCCTCGCCACCTCTTGAAATCTATGCGATTCTTCCTATAAACGAGACTCTCTCCCCAACAACTGCCATCCCACCAGCTCAGCACGAAGCAGCAACCCAAGGTGCGTGTACTACTTCAGCTTGACCCGGCTAGGGTTTATACACGTTATATCGTCGAATTGAGCTTTACCTCCTTACTTCGCAACGCCAACGATCCGACACAACGAGAGAGAAGCGGTAAAAGGTTGAGCGAATAAAACGACTTCTGTCTGTTTTCTGAGACACAGCTGCCCAGCCCCCACGCCCAGTTGTCAACAAGCGGCCAGGCCATCATACAATCAGTACGCCGTTGCTTAGCGCGGACACATTCGACTAATAAGCTGAGACTGCCATCTGGTGGCGCTGGAAGGATACAGCCGTCTGCCGCGGTCCATTCGGCTTCGAACACAACTCCTCCAGCTGCGTGCTGTTAGTTAGGCACTCCCTGGATGCAGCTGGGAGCCAAGGTATGGGAATTGCCGTCACTACTCAGCCCTTCTGCAGTAGCCCTATTGCCTATCGTCTCATTGAGTCTCCTGGGCTTTTCACCCTCTTCCGTCATCCTAGTCCCCGTCATCCTAGCCTCCGGGCTCCGCTGGCCGGAGTCTCTCATTTTTCTTCCTCCCGCGTTGAGGTGAACAGAATCCTGACCAAGACCGTTCAGGCTTTAGAGGTCCAGAAAGAGTTGAAGTCTGGGTGGCAGGGGTGATTTGAGAGTCCAGGGCCGGGCCCATGATCATCGGACTCGGAAGGTATTTGTTGACTACCACATCAAGAACACGCGAGAGAGATCCCTGACACCTCTGGCGTTGACGGCCCGCCCGATAGATCAGGTACATCTCTCGTCACCACGCCGATTACGCACCCAAAAACTTGGATGCCCAAGTAACGTCGGTCGGTACCTTGGTGGTCCAGACAGGTTCCATGTTCCGAGAGGCAAAAAAATACATCAGTTGTTGGCCAGGATCAGCAGCAAGAACGGGTACGTGCCTTTTCATCATTCTTCTCCCCTGCTTGGGATTCGCCTCGCATCTCTTTGCCCTGGTGCTCTCGCTCTTTTCTCTTTTTGTGGTTGATGTCAGTCAACTTCTCGACGCCGTATACCGGACCGAACACGCTCCTAGGGTTGTATCAAAAAAATCTCATTGTACCAAAAAAATCTCATTGTACCTTTTACCTCGCAGCTGGCATCTTCCGGGCCCCTTGCTCGACCACCTCGCCCTACTCCCAGTGCGTACACGACCGCCTCGTGTATAAGACTTCGAGCCCAACGACTCGAATACACACACACACACACACAACTGCCGCATCTGCTGCATCTGTCTGCAGTAAACGTCGAGATACCCTGGCAGACCTCGCCCTCCTTCTGGGGCCCCTTCTTTCGCTTTCTGAGCTTGGGTTGCAATCAGCCCACGGCAAGAGAAATAAGTTGGGGAGCCGACCCAATTTTGACGCCGGTCACCTCACAGAAAAACTTCCAACTTTGGTACTCCATCCTGCCAGTGCCGCACTCGCAGCCAGGCTCGACCCTTTCACTCATCTCGATTGGCCCGTTGCCATCTTCGCTTCTTGCCCCCGTCCCGTGTCCGCATTGGCCCTGCGCCCGCGTTATTGCACGAGGAGGCGCTTGCCGGCCGCGAAGCTTGGTTTCCCTTTTCCGACGTCCATTTGTTGATGCTTCCCCATCAATCCCTTGTTGTGGAGGGAACAGACATCTCGCCTGTCACTTTGTACTCTCAGGGGTTACCATAACAACGTCGTCTTGATCGTCTGTTGCAAGTCACAATCGCTGCCGACATCGTCAAAGGAGGAGACTGCATCTCTGCTCTTCGGGATTCCGTCCTGGCTCTTCTGTCTCTACCGTCGTCCGAAGTTGCATCATCACCATATGTCACAGCAACCCCGCGGACCCTGACTTCGACATTGCTAAAGGACCATCAGCTTCGTGGCATCATTGGACGTGGGCGGCAGATGGTCTCCATCATGTCCTACCAGTATCCTCCCCTACCCAACACTCCCGAGGTGGACATGTCTCACCCCGGGTACGCGCCCGGCTACAGCGCGCCGGCTCCGGGTCCTCCGATGATGGTCCCGAGATCCCACGATCAATCAATCAAGGAGCGCGAGGAATCCTTTCCACAGGCGAGTCTGAAGTTGAAACGTTCGAGGACTAAGCCTAATGTCAGACCGCGGCAGGCCAACATCCCCGACCCAAGCCAGGCTGCGTTGGCGAACGACAAGAAGAGAAACAAGCTAGGTTACCATCGAACCTCGGTAGCTTGTGGTAAGTGCTTGTCTCTGGCCGTTCCGGTCCTCGCTGGACGGTGGCAGACCCGGGGAAACACGCTGACGATGCTCGACAAGGACACTGTCGTCGACGGAAGATCCGTTGCATCCCCTCGCCTTCCGACACCCTGGGTAGATGTATCAACTGCATCAGACTGAAGAAGGAGTGCAGCTTCTATCCCGTAGACCAGCCACCGGCACCGCAGTCGACAGAGGCGCGGCCAAAGGCGCCATCCCGAGCTTCGACAGGGCCCAAGGTCACGTCTGCGTCTTCGTCCCCGGCTATGGCTCCTGGCCAGTCGCCGGACATGTCCCAATACCAGCAGTATCGGCACGTGGCGATGCCTCCAGCAAACATGGCCCCGCCCGCAATGAGACCGGCGGGCGTCGAAGGGGGTAAGCTGATGCGCTTGATTGAAAGCTGAGGAGTTGCTAACAGCGTAATAGTACCCTCTGGCGCGTCCTCGTCCTCTCGTTCGTTTGACTTTCAGGGTCAGCAAATGGCAAATTGGATGCCGCATGACGCGGCTTCCGGCGCTGCAAAGCCTTCTAACCTGAACGAGACGTGGACGTCGTACCCGCAGGAGTCGCCAATCACGCCGTCCTTTTCGCCGTACACTCCTCAAGGGCCTGGCCCTGCCGGATGGGGGACAGCCATCAACACCGATCCTAACATTCGCGACGAGATGAACTGGACCTCTTTTGTACCAGCCGGCTCGGTGCCGTTCCCCGGCCAAGCCCAGATGCCGAACCAGTTCGCCGGCATGCCTCAAGGCCGCTCCTTTGGAAGGAAATCATCGACCATGTCGATGGACATGTACTCAACCCCGCTTGCCACTTCCGTGGCCGGTTTTGACCCGCAAGGCGCGTCTCTGTCCGCCGGCGCAGTGCCACCCGCGGGTTACGGATCTTGGGAGCAGCCGTATACCTACACCAAGTCGAGCGAGGGAGGATACGAATGGAGCTATGACGACAGCCGCGAGCAGTAAGCTCTGACGTGAAGACAAGGTCTTGTCGACGAAGCCAGTTCTCGCCCTCCCCGGAGACTACGGAAGGATCACTAGACTTTACAAGTCAGCTATATAACAACAGAAGCGGAGGAAAACAGGAAGCATTTGCATTTAACGGACCATTTTTGAAATTCAAAAGATACCCGCAACCGCTTTGAAAGCGGCGTCATGCAGCCCGGCGCAGTAACGGAAGCAGCATTTGAGCGACTTCGATTCTTTCATTGGGAGGAAAAGGAGAGAGCAGAGGTTCAAAAAAAGGGACTGAGGAGCTTGTATCCAAATTCAGCAAGGCGAGGACGTTTTTGAACGAAAGGATATTGGGGGGATTTTGAGAAACGACGCGGCCTTGCGACACAACCCCTGAAGGAGGAAGTGCATTTTGTCTGGTTCAGAGGCCCAAGCTTGACGAGGCCTGCAACACGGGGGTCACACGAGACGCCAAGTTATGGATCCTCGGGGCAATCGACGGCGCGAACCAGAGAATCATCATGTGTGCTTCTGGTCAGTTCGATTACAAACAGCTTATACGCAGAGGATGGGACGCGGCCTGCCGTTGCTGTTGCTGTCGTTGCTAACCATGACTTTCTGCGGTCTGGCTGGACAGTTTGACACGTCTACGCTCTGGGCCGATGCGATTTTTCTGTCGGAAGTCAAAGACATACGAGCAAGGGACGTCAAATTTGGGTGTGTGAACACAGGCGCGGAGGCGGAGTGGGTGGGGCCGCAAGGGAGGATGGTGCCGGAAACCCGGTTCACGGACGGAGCGCCGCTTCCCACGACGGCGCATAGTCGTGGTAGTGTCAACTCCACCTCCTGGCCTCGGCGATGACCATCAGCGACTACATAATCAGCGCGATCGTTAGGATGAGGTGCAGTTGGATGGAAGGAAGTACTGGTGGGAAAGGTTAAAAAAAAGGGGGAGCAGCATTTGGGGGGTACACACGCATTCCGGAGGGTTCTGACGACGGCTTCATGTTCGATTCTTCATTCTTTTTGCTTTCTTTCCTCGTTTTCTTCGATTCGTATCCTCTCTTTCACACCATTGCCCCCGCACTCGTTTATTTTTCCCTCCCATTCTCCGTCACACCCCCTTTACGATTATGTAGATTTGACGCTTCTGATTGATGAGCCCTTCAAAAACCCACATCACTTCCCCCAGACATGTTTAGGTAGTTGATTTGTTTTCTCTATGAATAGACCATCTCCTCGAGCGTACTGCTTTCTGCGATGGATGGCTCCTTGTGTTGATATACCGCTGAAAGTAACATGTATGACTCGGCGTCCTCCATGGCACCCTGAAGTGGTCGTGTACTATATCAAAGCCCGCGATGTCCGGCATGAACTCTTCGTCAGCCCAGTGTCATTGCCTTGGGCCGTATGTGAATAGCTTTTGATATTTCAAACACAGATGCCCTGGAATGATCGTACGCGATGCACCGAGATGCTGCCTGGCGATAACTTGGAGACGGCAACGTAGCAGATAGCAGACGACCTTTTTCAGCTGCCTCCTTGGGAGCCCTCTCGGTGGCCCAGCTATCGTCGCGGCTTTCAACCTGGTCAGGATCCCGAAAGCGTTGGCTCGGTCGTCGGGGTCTGGCGTTTCGAGACACGAACTGCTGCCGTGTCGTTGCCGTGCTTAGTTGTACCGGGTCCTGCCATCTCAACTCGATGAGGCCCCGTCCTAGTCTCCATGGTGACGAGCACCGACTCCGTCCGTCCAACGTCCTCCGCACTGCCTGTGCAATCCCTATGCTCTCCCATCCCATACCAAAACTAGGTCACTGCACCAGCTGCCACGTGAGGACCAACAGCGTCACGTACGCCGCCAGACTGAGCACGGTGAGCAGGGCGACGCTGTTGCCCGAGGTGCGGAACTTGCGGACGACGGAGACGGAGCCGTCGGCGTCCTCCTTGGGGGAGGTGAAGAACTGGCGGTTGCCCTCGTGGCGGCGGTAGATTGCGACGAGCATGACGGCGGCGCCGTAGACGGCGAAGAGGGCGCCGATGGCGTAGAACTCGGACGTGAAGATCTTGAGGATGATGAGGGCGAAGGAGAACTGCGAGAGGGCGGTGCGCATGTAGGCGCCCTCAAAGGTCCGCTGGGCGGCGCGGATCTCGACGAGTCTGGGGATGGTTAGACAGATGCTGGCAGACGTTAATGACGGAGGCTTACTCTTCGGCGGTCAAGATGACCGACCGTGCCCTGTGAAGGCGCAGATGAAGATGGTCTTGAGGGTTTGGCTGCGGCGTGTAAGCATCGAAGGCGAATGGTCACCACTTGAGTGGATTCCGAATGATACGAACCTGGAACATGTTGAGTTGGATGAGAGGTTCAAAAGGCAATCAAGTGTTTTTGCAATCCGATCAGTCCGACGCACAGAGATCGTCTTTAAAAAGGTGAAGCCCACGATGAGGGAAGGCAGTTATGAACATCCCCAGAGTCGACGATCACGAACGGCGGGTTTAGAGTTTCCTGGCAGGTGATCTCGGCCGCTGCTTGGCTCGCCGATGGTGTCGGGGATGCATCAGGTGCGGCTGATTAGATAAGGCAATAGCCGTGGCGGCAGCCAATGGCCGATGCTCATGTGGAGCAGCAGGGAGTACTAGAAGCATTCATCGCAGAGTCTCTGCCATTGCGTGCATGGCATGGCATGGCGTCGTGCATTTGTCTACTGTCGCAAGTGCTATCTGTCTTGCTCCCGCCCCAGGCCTGCATCGCATGGCTCACTCAGCTCGAGGGTCTGTGGTGGACTCTGACAGATGCAAAGATCTTGGCAATCCAACGCCGCAGCGCTTCATTGGCGCTGCCGGCTGACGGTTGCTAGATACGTTCGCGCTGCCATGTTCGGGTAGTGCACCGGTCCGGTCGGCGAGAGGTAATTCGTCAACAGGATGATCAGGTCGCCCATTTGGCTTTCAACCTCGAGCAATGTGACGCAATCAGGGCAAGTGAATGTCTCTGTCCACTGGTGCCAACAGAAACCCTTTGGTTCAGCTGGTAGTCGCCGGGGCTCGTTACATCGGCGATCTCGAGTGGTTTCCTCGCCTCTCCTCTTCTCGCACCTGTTTGACAGTGGTGCATCTTGACGACATCTGCCGGAATGCAATGCCCACGATGGCCGGGCCTGTGCCGCAGCGGCACACCGCAAATCGGGACTTCGGGGTCGGTGTGGCGCTGCGCAGCCTCCATGGTGCTTGTTCTGTGCCGTGGTCGGCGAGGTGCACCGCCCGGTCTTCCTTGTCCTTGAGGAACTGCTTGAGTGGTCGCCCAGGGTTCCCGACGTCGATAAAATAACCCGAGTGCCATCACCGCACCGCAGCTTGCGGCTGTGCTTAATGGTGCCAGACCCCCACAGATAGATATCCGTCCCTGGCGTCCGATGCGGCGCGACGTTTGCCATGTTTCGTGGATGCGAGAGCGATGACATGACCACGAGAGCGACGCGAAGAAACGCTTTGCTAGCAACGGTTCCAGCGCTGCAACAGTCAACGTGCCGCACCTGTCAGCCACAGCTCCGCGGGGATGCTATCCCGGAGCAGGGGCCGGACAATGACATCAACCGCTGCAGGTCTGACTGACGATCGCCAGGAGGTTCTCGAGGTCAAACATTGCGACGTCCAAGGAAGAAAGGGACGGGTCGAAATGTGAATCAGCCGGATATGGAAGTGTGCCTCTCGGTGAGCACAGGCTGACCGGAGCACGACCTGAGAGATTAAGCAGCATGCAGCAAACACCAAACCAAGCATCAAGCATCAAGCTCTCGAGGGTCGAGGGATGCGGCAGTGGCTGCTTTCTGTAACGTGCTGCGTGGGTGACCAAGGGCGTGTCTGTGTCTGTCTGCCCTGGGGCTGAGGAGAAAGCCCAGCGGGTGCATCAGAAAACGCCTCGCTCGTCGAAGGAAAAGTGGAAGAAGTGCAGCTGGGCGTGACATCCATGGAGGTTAGGTAGTCGGATACCTCGGTTCACAGCGAGGAAGCGGTGGGCGGCGGAGGTTCCTTCCAATCTGAGCCCGCCCGGCCCCCATTCCGCCCTACGGCCAAGTGTGCCTGTGGCTGCTGCTACTTGCTAGGTACATAGTGGCTGCGTCCTCCACTCACAGCGGTCCCTTGATTTAGGGGACCCACTATGCGGGGCGTCGTGCTGCGAGAGGCCCCGCGGAACGAACAAGACTTGGACTAAAATGCGAAGGGTAAGGGAAAGCGAGAGGACGTACTGCGGTAGACGGGAAAGAGGGGGGAAGCTTTTCGGGGGTCCAGCGAAGAAACACGCAGCAGCGCCAAATAAGGTACGGGGCCACTGTAGTGTAGGATTACCTTACGCAGTAGGTGTGCAGGTGGTGCTCCCTCGTACCTTGTGTCGGGTGGTTCGCATTTGCTTGCATTCCACTGGACGGATGCCTTGCAGCAAGGCAGCCAGAGGAACCCCTCAGCATCGACGTATGGTCCTTTCTAGTGTAAGATGCGCCGTCTGGCCAGTGGCTATCAGATGCTTTTCGTCAGATGTCTCTCAACTCTGCTCTATTAGCATTTGCTTCCTGTGAGAATGCACATGCCTCCTCGCGGCGGTTGAGGTTTCGGCTGAACGACTGGTCTGAACCCTCGACTGGTCGTCCATGACGATGGCTGTAGATGGTATAGACAGCCCGAACAAGCCAGGAACCTTATGGGACCTGGACCTGGACTGGGCCTGACTACGGCCTGCTGCCCCCTCTTCAACTGTAACCGCATCTCGTCGAGCAGAGGGCGGCGTTGTGGCGGCGCATTACCGCCTCGGTGGGCTGCGCATCCCGACCAGGATGTTGCCGCCCACACTCGACACGAAATCCGACCGAGACAACTCGATGTGGGATGGGATGGGATGGGATGGGATGGGAGCTCTCCTACGCAGTCCCAAGGTATGTAGTAGCTAGCTGAATCTGAACACAGGCAGCAGGACGGCCAGAGAGACAAGACAACCCAGAGACAAGCAGGTGATGGCA